CCTCAGATGACATAATATACACAGCAATTGAATTTTTGTCATAAGGGTTGTCTGGCTCAACAACTAATTTTGCAAGAACAGGCCTATTATGTTCATACATATAATCAAATGCTTCTTCTAATGCTCTCTGATAATCTGTAAAATAGCAAATTTCCATAACCTTGAATGGCAGACAATGAGACCTCACTGCAGCTGGTGTTTCATTTTCCTCTTCATCTGCATCCTCATCTTCATCCTCATCTTCAGATCCTGAATCAAAGTCAGCTGATGATGATGATGGAGGAAGGAAATGATCTGTTGCATCTTTTTTTGGCAGTTTCGACAATACTGTGTCTTTTTTGCTTTCTATGTCAATGCAACAGTGTGAGGTACACAAATATTTCCCCCACGTCAAAGCTGGTGCCAAGTCTTTCAGGATAACACCCTCTTCAATATCAGCAACTTTCTTAAAAAAAAAAAAAATACTAACAAACTCAAGTGGAACCCCGCCTTACGACCATCCTGTTTATAAGACCACCTCGTTATTACGGTCATATTCTTTCAAACCAAACGTAAAACCATTGAGTCATTTTATTATTTTGAAGATCCCGTTAATGTGACCACCTCGTTATTACGACTAGGATTTTATGGCCCAACGGTCGTCGCATTAGCGGGGTTCCACTTTATCAAAACTGGGAAACAGGAGATCGTCCAAGTAAAGGAAGAAAAACGATCCACGTGGGTTATTTCACATTCCATTTCTGGCCGATGAGCTGCAAGTTAAAAAAGTAATGATAATCATTAAAACCAAAGGACAAAACCATCTAATGATAGGTTGTCAAAAAGAAAAGAAATCATCTTTTGTATCTCTAATGTTTCTTCCATAACCTCCTATGGAAATGAGGAACCATTGCTTATGTTCTGTAAAAAAGAAAATGATTGGGTTTAAAGGATCAAAAGGCTTTATTTATTTTCTTCAGGAAGGACATCTTGAGGTGGACAACTTCCTCGCATGCATCCACAGTAGATCTATAATAATTATTCAAAATTTGAGTAATGATTTTTTACCACTGTCAGAAGATCCAGTCTGTGTAGAAAGTACTTGTTGTTGCACTTGTTGGTTGTTGGTAGTCTAGAGGAATAAAATAATGTGTTTTGTCAGTGCAATCACATTTGCAAAAATGTATTGTCATTGTTATTATTATTATGTCGCAGTATGAAACTTTGGAATGCTGTCCACACTATGAGTAGTATAGGGCGCATAGCGTAACCTACACCACTTGAGAAGTTATACTTATTAGTAAAAAAAAGTCGATACGAAACCTAATACAATCCTAAAATACATAGCGATATGAATCTCTCTACTTAAAAAGCCAATTTAGAATATTATTAAATTCTGATACTCTGTGAAACCTTCGCTATCTCTACTAAAAGCTTATACATAGTGATATAAATCTCTCTACTTAAAAAGCCAATTTAGAATATTAGTAAATTCTGATACTCTGTAAAACCCTCGCTATCTCTACTAAAAACTTATTTATAATAATATCAAACTCTAATGTTCTAAAAAATCTAAGTAAAAACGTCAGCAAGCTTGTGTTTCTAGATTTCTAGAGAAAAAACAAAAACCTAAAAACTGAAGTGCATAGCGCCCTAACTAAGTATTTATCTTAAATGTTCTGGCAATGTTTAAAGTGTTTGAGATGACCGACTTCTGCATCCGCTCAAGTACGCTCCATGCTCTCACTCCAGGTATGGTGTGTGGAACCAGTGACAGTGTTGTTAATGCTGTTTTGAACTCTAAAGAACTCCGGTCCCGAGTGGTCAAAAAAGTTGAAAAACAAGTTCAGGAGGAATGCTGTGGCTTGTGTAGTAGAAAGACACCTTCTATACTAACCAAGACATCACTTGAAAGCATAATAAGCTTAAAGGATCAAGATATTGTGAATGAGCTACAGGAGAAAGCACCCACATTTTACAGTTGCCTGCTTGCTGCATCCTCAAGTCAAAGGGGTGACCCAAACAAAAATAAACAAAGAACAACTCCTTCAATTAGCATGGCAAGTTCCATTTTGCTGAAGTGCCGTAATCCTTCAATGACTGCTAATGCTTATCGTTTATCTGTTTTGTTGTGGCATGGAGGAGCTCAAAAACAGATATATATATTATTCCCTTTAAAGTGTCATGTAGTGCATCCAAAATGACTTATAGACAGTTTTATAGGTTATATCTATTTTAACTTGTTGGGCACAAACATTCATTATTATTAATGTTCATGAATTCAGTTCCATAATAATTTTATCATTTGTATTATGAATTGTTCGATGTGGCTTAAATAGACCATGAAAAAAAAAAAAAAATTAATTTCAGACACTTCCATTTATCTTACAAAAAGTAAATATTTCTGCTTGTAGTTTTACAAGAGGTGCAGTCGTTGGGGGAATTTGTATGAGCCATTGGCGGATTTTAAAAAAGATTGATGAGTTTGGCCAAGACTTTGATAAGTTGGTGTGTTAGTGGAAAAGCAACCTTGGGCACAGCTGCAAGAAGGAAAAAGTATTGTCAACCTTAACTGAAGTAGTTGAAGAGGCAGAAATGGAAATAATACCCGGGGCATGGCAACTATCAATGTAGCAGACATTGGCCTAATCTTTCATTCAGTTTTGTCAAATAGTCATGGTGATGACGTCGAACTGCAGGGTGCTGACGTGGAGGATGGTGCATCACTTAAAGTCAGAGAGGTTAAAGAAAGAGTGCGATTAAAAATAGGTAACAATTTTGACAAGCAAGTTTTTGATTCTCTTGTGGATGAAATAGTGAAAACGAACATGCCTTTATGTCTAAAAGCATTGAAGGAGTTGGAGGAAAAGGTGTTACTTCAACATCCCCCAACATTCCAAATTACAGGTGATAACTTGGATCTTATGGTGAAAGTGAAACACATGTCAGTATCCAATCAAAACAATAGCATCCACTGGGTTAACTTAAATGCAGTGAAAAATCGTGTGTTGGCAAACCATCTATCCAATGACAATCCTGTCAAGTCTGTTCTAGAATTGGAGAAGGTGGAATTTTTGCCATCGCCTGAAGACAACGAAGCATATCTCCAGAACATAACTGCCTTAGCAACACGTGTAGTTGTAAGGAATATCCCCGCATTCTCACAATTTAAAGACATTGTTGTAAAGCATATTCTTCATGAGTATTCTGATGTGATGAAAGAAAAATCAGATCAAGTAAGTATTCATTTAATATTTTCTTCATATTGAGGCTGATTATACAGTATGTGAAGTGTTAGTTAATAACAATTTATCATTGTACCAGCTTTTAAGGTCTGATGTGATGAAAGGAAAATCAGATCAAGTAAGTATTCATTTAATATTTTCTTCATATTAAGGCTGATTATACAGTATGTGAAGTGTTAGTTAATAAAAATTTATCATTGTACCAGCTTTTAAGGTTTTCAAGCATACAATTTATGGTCATGGTGCCTATTTAAACCTTGGGGGATGGACTAAGAAAATAAATAAGGCCTCCGATTTGTAAATATTCAACTTCGAATAAGGGACTATGCTAGATTACTAAAATACTGTGAATTCTATAAACAAAAAAGCTATTACATTATTGCATAAAACTGTCTTACAACTTATGAAAAACGGCCATAGACTAATAGAAAGAGGCTGTGAGTGAGTGGTCTATCAGCACCCTGCTGGCCCCCACCATCTTACTGTTGCTCCTTGCCAAACAGAATACATAACCTAATTTCAGAAAAGATTTACAAATTGCCCCCTTCAATTTTCTTAGCTGGAGCACAACCTTGCTATTCAACTCATGCTGGATGTTAATATTTTTTTTATTGATAGAAAGAGAATAATGAAATCTCATCTTCATTTCCAGTTTACTGCAGCTACCACTTGAACTTCTTTTCAAAAATGAAAATGTGAATGAAGAGATAATTGACATCCTTCAAGAGCTGCATGACAAGTACCTACCTGTCGACAAGCAGACAGTTGAAGCAGAAGAGGTTGTATCCATTCTGGAGCACCTATTTATTGGAGGACAACTGACTGATGAAAGGGCCAACAACTGTAAGGCTGCACGCAGTGATGGCGATACCGAATTTGAACGTCTTGAGGGCTTTATCAGCAAAGTTTAAGACTGGCATGCAATTCGTATTTTATATCAGGTCAGATGAAGATGTTACAGGTCCTATATAAATTCAGGTTAAAATTTTTTAGGTTGATTCTCAAAATCCCTTGCCACCTAAGCCCTCATTCAAGAATAATTAGGGCTAGGAGACAAAGGAACTTGATCTTAATCAACCCTACATTAAAAAAAGAAATAAAAAAATAAAAAATAAATAAACATGGATTTAACTTGGTCTCCTAGCCATAATTAATTTAGAAAAATTATTAAATAATAGGGATAAGGCAAATTGTTTAAAATTATTGTTTTAATATTATTTGACTATGTATTCTAATTATTATTGTGATGTGTTTATTAATATAACATCTTAAGGTAATATTAAGCCTTATAACGGAAAAAATGAATCATAGCAAAATAAATAACGTTGTGATTCACGTAAATAGCGCGATTGTGGACACTTTGTTTTCCTAACTGTACCATTTTTTGAGAAAGCCACACTATACGTTTTGGAATGGCTTTTGTAATCTCTACCCTGACCTTGTAATATCTCAAATTCCAGGTATTGTATGACATCTTTAAGAGTTCCTCAGCCAATGACATTGGAACTATGTGCTCAAACATGAACGTCGTAAACAACTGTAATGCAAAGACTGCAAATGTTCTTGATAATTTTAACGTTTGTAAGGACTTTATAAATTTGGAGACCGATGCTCTAATTACAGCGGCAGCAATGTCTCACTTCGGTATGGAAAGTCTTGATGACAAGACAGAATCTTTCATCCCACCAGACATACTAAAGGCATCAAGAGAGAAGAGAAGAGTGTGGCTCTACTGTCGCATAACAAACATGCTGGCCACATTTGTCATGTCTGATGAGCACGAAATCATCAGAGAAAATGTAGCTGAGGTTAACAGGCCAAAAGCTCCTGTTGTTCACATATGCAGGGTATGTAGAAAGACGTACAAGTATGCCAAGGCAAAGGAAAACCATGAAAGACAACAACACCCTGAATTCTGTTTCAATGAAGATGTTGATTCCCAACAAGAGTCTCCAAATGAGACAGAAAATTTAGAGAGTCATGACCAAAAGCCGAGGGATGACAGGTACAACTATGCTACTCTCCGCTTAGCCATAGGCCTACTCCTAAGAAATTTTGATGATGCCGTGAAATAGGGAGATGGTGGGCGCATATTTTGTTGTTGGAAATTTGCTATGTTAATATACAAATCACACAATCACAACAAGTATGCTTTGGCAGGTCTTCGACTCCAAGCATTAATCAAAGCAATTCTTACCCCAAGAGAGGCTGAATGGTTGAAGTGGAACAGAACTGTAAACAACAAAGGGGGTGCTGGAAACAACATCTCAATGGATATAAGAATGGAGCACCTGATCTGCCTTACAAAAGAGTTGCTGAAGCGTCTTGGTCCGAACCTGACAGAAGCTGCCGCAAAACGCTGCTGCAAAGCTGTTGGCCACTTGTCAGATCTGATTGATTTAGTGGATGAGGACTTAAGAATTGAAAGACCCAGTGGGCATCACAAGATGCAGCAAAGAGGGGCTGATTTCAAACTTTTAGTGGACGAGTTTCACCGAAGGGGAAGTATGTGTAAGTTTGATCCACAACCTGAAAGGGAGTATCGCATCTTTGCCAACTTCCGGGACAGGCTAATCAAGGGTCTTGATTTGACATCCTTAAACAAATGGATCAGCCAACACAAAAAGGAATTGCATAAATTGGAGTCAATTTAAAGTGTACTAATTTGAGATTATTATACTCCCAGGGGGAGGAGGGTACTCCTGGTAATTTTTGGTGGGGGTGTGCCGCCTGGTTCCCACCTACACCACTTTTCAGACCTGGACTTTGGGCAGAAATTATGTCATCATTACTTCGATTAGAGCGGAAACAAAAAATTCTTGAAATCCATTCCTAATGTGCATGTCTCTTTCTTTCCTCCTTATTTGGATTTCAGACAAAATGTATACCTGTTTTCAAACCAATAAGGTGCAAGAACTCCACTCAATGGATATAAGAGCATATCGATGTGCCCTATACAAGCGAGTACCCCTCCCCCCCTGGGATTATACTCTCCACAAGTGATATATTGAAAACCATAGAAACACCTAATTCCGACATGACAACTTAATAACAATATAACTGTTCTTGTGCATTTCTTTAAGGATGCCCTGTCGGCATTTTTTTCCTGCTGAATTTTGCTTTTAAGCCTCAAGGCAATTATCATAAATCACACATGAAGGGCAGAATTGGCCACCAGTTTGGAATAAGGTGTCCTCTGTCGATTCCCTTATTCTTTGATTCCCGGTCCCATTACTCATAAATAATTAGGACAAGGAGACAAAGGAAATATAAAGTCAACCTTGGTTAAATGATTTTAACCTGAATTCAAGTTTGACATGTAGCATATCCATTTCATGTCATGAAGTACGAGAAAAAGAAAGCCAAATATGTTGCCTTCTACTCTTAAGTTTCAAATAATTACGGTCACAATCAGTTAAGATAAAGAAGGTTAAAAGATTGTATTATTTTCTTTAAGAACTGGAGTTTTGGATAATAATTTATTATTCATCATTACATTATAAAATATTGATGTCCAAATTTACATATCAGGATTCCAGGACTGACGCTTCTCCTAGCTACAACAAGAATGGCTTATAGAAAACAAAGGAAAAGTAGGAAAAAGATCATTTTTTAATTGTTCAGATATCTGCATACCATTAATTTTTTGTTTTACCTGGCGATACTAAATCTCAGTGACAGCCCTCTGTTTTTGTCACAATGTTTTTTTACTTTCTTATCTAGAACTTTCTCTCTGCTTTGACCATTCTTTTTTTGTTGCTATGAATAGGGCAATAAAATACAGAAAAAATGGTCATTGCTTTCAATCATGCATTTGTCTGTTCTTATTATTAGAAAGATTCAGAGTCATGTTAATGGCAAATGACCTTATATTATAATATTCCTTGTTTTTTATTGTTCGTTGCTTATATAAGAAAAAGGTAGTTTCATGCCAGTTTCATCCTTAGGGATATTATTGTCTTGGGTCGTTGGTACGTGCTTATTTCCTACAAATGTGTTTTAGATAAATTCTCAAATGAAATCAGTTGTTTGTTGTAAACATGACTCTAAATCTCTCCATTATTACATATGTTGGACCGATTACTTGTGATTATCAATTTCAAGCTTTGTATTGGCATTTGCTGTCCTAAATTTGCCTACTATTGCAAAGTTACTAGAACTCATTGTTCCTTAGTCGAGCTCCACAACTCCTGACAGCTCAGAGCTGTCAGGAGCCATAGAGTCTTCCTCACCGGTGCTTCCCGATTCTTCATAAATTCCTCCATATTCCAAATCAGCATCATAAGGAAAAAATTCTTGGTTCTCCAAGTCACTTGGTTCATTCACTTCAAAATCTTCAAAAACATCCCTGATCATGTGCAAGATGTCATAGGCATGATGCTTTGAAAACACTGGGTTTAGATCAATGACATCATCTACAGAAAAAATGTACTTGCAAGTTTTTAAAACTGAGTTGGTCAGTGAATTTGAAAATCCTGTTTTGCTTTCAGAGGACAAAACTTTGCCACGGCACCATTTTTTCAGTTCTGCCTGATAGTCGTCAAAGAGTTCCCTTAACTCTTCTTTTTGAGTGGGGTCAACATTTCTTGTTTTCTTCTGTTTTAATTTTTTTGGGGCTTCCTCTGTTATTACTTTAAGCAGATCAACTTGGCACCCTTGTCCAACACATTGACATTTTGAATGACAAACAACACAACAGTCATGTGCCTCTTTACTGTCCATTGATGTGGCTTCAAATTCGCTCAGCAACAACTTGCGCAAACATTTGTTTTCAGTTTTTGCATACTCCTTCATGATAGGTTCACACTTCTTCAAGTGAAGGCCATGAAATAATAATAAAGATCTTGCCGGTTTACCATCACGTCCTGCCCTTCCAATTTCCTGGACAAAGTCATCGACTTGGCAAGTGGACCATAATGTATCACGTGGCGTATTCCTTGGAGGTTGACACCCATTCCAAGTGCTGTTGATGCAAAAACAACTCTGCATACACCCTGCTCCTCAAATAGAGTTTCAGAGTTTTTGCATGAAACATGCCAATCAACATGTTTGAAGATACAGTAGGTCCCCCTAGGGGAAAATAGGCCATTTCTCTGAGCTCAAATTTAAATTGCTTAAAAAGTAACCCACAGTCCTTCTGTAAATTGCAGTAAACAATGGTCTTAGGAGTTTCAATAGCCTCCTTTTTTAGCAGGTCAATTAGCCAGGCAAACGTCTTTGAAATATCCTTGTCAACCTTTTGCTTGTACAACAATGTTCGGTCTGTCAGGACTCACCCGAATTTGATATGTGTCATCCTTCATGGCTAGACCTTTCATTGTGTCGCTGATAACCTCGGATGTTGCAGTGGCTGTAAGAGCAAGAACAGTAGTCCCCTGTGGTAGCAGGAAGCGCACATCACCAATCTTAAAAAAGCATTCCCTGAATGCAGCCTTTTTGCTTTTTTCATTTCCCATTTCCTTTTTCATTACCCCTGAAAGTTAAAAACATTATCATAAATGTATGATATAATCAGAAGAAACAATAAGGATTTAATATTCGTGCTGAAATCTCACACTATTTCACACAAATAAAAGATAAGAATCTACAATAAACAAGCAAGATCCTTGCAGCTAGGATTTATTTATTTTTCTTTTGACATTTATTTTGTTTTTAAAAAGAATTACAGAAAACCTTATAAACACATCTGGAATATTACAGTAAAGTAGAATATTTACACAGCTATGGATTACTCTATAAACTCATTTATCCAACCATCTGAAAATCATGATTACTATAAGTGTAGTTTCTTCCCAAGAACTGTAAGGGACTGGAACTGTTTATTACCTGAAACCAGAGCACTTAATTATTCTGCATTTTGTAGAGCAAAATTATTCTAAGTTTTGTTTTAATATACGTACTGCAGTTTCTTCGTTATATATTTTTTACTTTTAATTTTTTATTGATATTTACACTTTTATTTCTTAACTCTTCTTGATGTGTAACACGTTGAAGTAGATGTAGATTAGGAAATGTTTGATTTCTGATTATACTCGTAACACAGGATTTACTGTGCAACATTTCGAACTACAAAGGAATGATTGATCTCAAAAAGAACTTACCATTTTGGAACAACATGAGCCTCATCTGTGACTAAACCAAAAAGGTTGTCTTGAAACTCTTGCGATTGCAGCAATTTTCGCCACCTTTCCTCACGAACAGTGAGTTCAGGACTGGTAAATACAATAGAATGCTGTCAAATTTCTTTCTCCATGAGGCCATCATCCCCAAGGTAGCACGACAAAATACCATAGTTGGCAAGCTCTTGGATGTGTGACTCCACCAGGGCACTGAGAGGGCATATCACCAACAGTATGGGTTTCTCAGGATAATTAAACTTTTCATTGTGTAAATACGCACACACCAACGGGACCAGTTGAAAAATCAACGATTTCCCACAACCAGTAGGAAGGACACAAAATACGTCCTTTCGGCGAATAAACTGCATCAGTGCTTCTTCCTGAACAGGCTTCAGCTGTCTCACGTTCTCAAATTTAGAACTTAAAGCGTGATGAACGGCATTTCTGAACGAACGCGTTCCTCCATTGTTGACATTGTTGCCTTGGAACGCGACACGATCTGCCTGAGAAACCGGTTTTTCAATCCCACGCAATTAAGTTGTTCGATGTAGCCAATCAGGGCCATTATTATATTGTTAATTCCCTGCGGACATTGGAGTATCCAATCGGTGACCCAGTTCAAATTCTGAACTGATTTTTTGCATGGAAATGAGGTTGCGTACTCCTGTGACCAGAGGTTATTTCTTTCTCCTCGGCGCTTTTTTTTTTTTGCGTTAACGCGGCTATCGATAAGAAAAAAATATCCTCTGGAACCCAGGGTAGTTTTAGCCATACTGTAAGACGATTGGCTGGAATTTTGTTATTGTTCCGCTTTAAAATTCTCAAACATTTGATGCGTTCGTTTGAGAGGTATATAATACGTCTAAAAAGATGGAATTTATTTAACTTTTTACTGTAGGGTTGCTGAGAATTTCAATCCACCTTAACTGCCACCATACAAGTGTTTTAAGAGCGGTTGATGGTTTTAAACATACTGTAAGACAATTTTCTGAAATTTTTTTGTCCCACTCTAAAATTCTAAAACAGTTTGTGTTCATGGTAGAGGTATATCATACCTCTAAAGAGGTGAGAGGCTTTCACCGTGGAAAAACCAATGTCACAGCGTTTATTTTTTACTGTTGGAATTCCGTTTAAACACCTTTTTTTTTACAGCGTTGAAACCCTGTGAAACACAGAGCGGTCGATGGTTTTAGCCATACCGTAAGACAATTGGCTGGAATTTTTCTATTGTTCTCCTATAAAATTGTGAAACATTTTATGTGTTCCTTTTAGACGTAAAGCATTAATTTATTTAATCTTTTCACTATAGGCTTGCTGACAAATTGAATCCACCTTAACCATCACCATACCAGTGTTTTCAGAGCGGTCGATGGTTTTAGCCATACTGTAAGACAATTGGCTGGAATTTTTTTATTGTTCTGCTTTAAAATTCTCAAACATTTTATGTGTTCCTTCTAGAGGTATATCCTCAAAAAGGCTGTAATTAATTTAACTTTTTACTGTAGGGTTGCTCAGAAAAATTCAATCTACCTTAACCCTCACCATACCAGTGTTTTCAGAGTCACAAAACACAGAGAAGAGAAGTGTGACGTCACGTTGCCAAGGTAGAAAAAATTTCTGGATGACAACAAAAGCAAGAACGGGGGCACAGAAAACAAAAATAGGCTTATATGAGCAAACCAACAACCTTCACGCTTCTTGTTGCACTTTCTAGGTGTCGTTGCACGACTGGCGGTCGAGTTGATTAAGGCACGCGTCTATACTTAGTGAAAGAGTGAGGGGGGTAGTCTATCTTTCAAAGCATTATTTTTGTGGTAGCAGCGGAAAACTGTCGTCAGGCGGTAGGTACTTCATATATGATTAGTATTATGTACCTAAACATACCTATTATTATTGTACTATATACAACACCATATATACATAAGTATGTTTAGGTACTTAATAATAATCATATATGAAGTACCTACCCGTCAGGCACGCATCTCATCATTTTTTTTGTCAAATTTGGTGACCATGTTGCCAAATTGGTGGTGGTCAGTTAAGAAATTGAAGTAATCGAGCAATAACATTGTTCTTATGAAACATTTCTAACACTCTCTTCGGTCATCCAGAAACTGAATGTTGCTACCATGTGGAAGCGAGGCGTAGTGACTTCTTACCACCCCACCCCTGTTTGCTTGCGCAGCAAAGGAGGAAGCTTTATTAACGTCTCTATCAAGAACAAGCAAATAGTCTCTAGTCACCACTTCCACTGACTTTTTCCAAGTGCAACACGAGGAACAAGAGATGAAAAGGAAAGGAAAAAAAAAAAACCTGGCAGGGAATAATGAAAACGATCATTAACGATCATTACTCTTGTTATTATCTCTTGATCTACTTGCTGTCACGGTCGCTTGGACAGAAATGTCCAAGAACCTAGAGCAAGTTGATTTCCGATTCGCTCTGTAACTGCCACATCTGCTCCAAAATCAACGCTCGATGTAACTTTACGACCAGTAATTTCCATGCACGTGTATTGAAAATGGGGAGAGGATGTGTTACGTAACTGGGAAGTTTGGTCTAATGGCTACATTTGCCACAAGAGGACGTATTGGGGAATGCCCCCCAAAGCCCCAAGACGAGAGACTCGTTGTGTGTGTTTTTTTTGGTTTTTGTATTTTCTTTGTTAAAGAAGACTAATAAGAACCGAGAAACTACAATTCGCCCAATTTCCCAAGTGGGTTTTTTCAGGAAACGCTGGTGCCAGCCAGGGCAGTGGTATTAGCTGGCCCCCGGTGTACTGGCGACATTCCAATGACTAAAATAAAGAAATAAATAAATAAAAACCTCTACGTACTTCAGCTGTGCCGGTTGTTGTCTTCGCTGCTTTTCACTTTTGGGCATGTAAAATCAGTAAAGTGGAGATCTGAAAGGAAATTGAAATCAGCCGTTATTAACATGCGGTTGAGTAAAGACCGCAGTGACGAATATCAGTAGCAGAAACGAAAGAATTGCGCATGGCCAGCAACACGACTCTTACCACAGATTTTTAGTTAGTTCATTTCAATCTTGTTCTGGTCGTCAAAGTCGCTGTGAATTCCTGCCAAAGAGAAGTAAGAACGAGTCAGTGTTGTTGCCGATTGGTCATCGTTCAAAACGACCTTTGTCCCGAGTGGTCAAAAAAGTTGAAAAACAAGTTCAGGAGGAATGCTGTGGCTTGTGTAGTAGAAAGACACCTTCTATACTAACCAAGACATCACTTGAAAGCATAATAAGCTTAAAGGATCAAGATATTGTGAATGAGCTACAGGAGAAAGCACCCACATTTTACAGTTGCCTGCTTGCTGCATCCTCAAGTCAAAGGGGTGACCCAAACAAAAATAAACAAAGAACAACTCCTTCAATTAGCATGGCAAGTTCCATTTTGCTGAAGTGCCGTAATCCTTCAATGACTGCTAATGCTTATCGTCTATCTGTTTTGTTGTGGCATGGAGGAGCTCAAAAACAGATATATATATTATTCCCTTTAAAGTGTGATGTGGTGCATCCAAAATGACTTAAAGACAGTTTTATAGGTTATATCTATTTTAACTTGTTGAGCACAAACATTCATTATTATTAATGTTCATGAATTCAGTTCCATAATAATTTTATCATTTGTATTATGAATTGTTCGATGTGGCTTAAATAGACCATGAAAAAAAAAAAGAAATTAATTTCAGACACTTCCATTTATCTTACAAAAAGTAAATATTTCTGCTTGTAGTTTTACAAGAGGTGCAGTCGTTGGGGGAATTTGTATGAGCCATTGGCGGATTTTAAAAAAGATTGATGAGTTTGGCCAAGACTTTGATAAGTTGGTGTGTTAGTGGAAAAGCAACCTTGGGCACAGCTGCAAGAAGGAAAAAGTATTGTCAACCTTAACTGAAGTAGTTGAAGAGGCAGAAATGGAAATAATACCCGGGGCATGGCAACTATCAATGTAGCAGACATTGGCCTAATCTTTCATTCAGTTTTGTCAAATAGTCATGGTGATGACGTCGAACTGCAGGGTGCTGACGTGGAGGATGGTGCATCACTTAAAGTCAGAGAGGTTAAAGAAAGAGTGCGATTAAAAATAGGTAACAATTTTGACAAGCAAGTTTTTGATTCTCTTGTGGATGAAATAGTGAAAACGAACATGCCTTTATGTCTAAAAGCATTGAAGGAGTTGGAGGAAAAGGTGTTACTTCAACATCCCCCAACATTCCAAATTACAGGTGATAACTTGGATCTTATGGTGAAAGTGAAACACATGTCAGTATCCAATCAAAACAATAGCATCCACTGGGTTAACTTAAATGCAGTGAAAAATCGTGTGTTGGCAAACCATCTATCCAATGACAATCCTGTCAAGTCTGTTCTAGAATTGGAGAAGGTGGAATTTTTGCCATCGCCTGAAGACAACGAAGCATATCTCCAGAACATAACTGCCTTAGCAACACGTGTAGTTGTAAGGAATATCCCCGCATTCTCACAATTTAAAGACATTGTTGTAAAGCATATTCTTCATGAGTATTCTGATGTGATGAAAGAAAAATCAGATCAAGTAAGTATTCATTTAATATTTTCTTCATATTAAGGCTGATTATACAGTATGTGAAGTGTTAGTTAATAACAATTTATCATTGTACCAGCTTTTAAGGTTTTCAAGCATACAATTTATGGTCATGGTGCCTATTTAAACCTTGGGGGATGGACTAAGAAAATAAATAAGGCCTCCGATTTGTAAATATTCAACTTCGAATAAGGGACTATGCTAGATTACTAAAATACTGTGAATTCTATAAACAAAAAAGCTATTACATTATTGCATAAAACTGTCTTACAACTTATGAAAAACGGCCATAGACTAATAGAAAGAGGCTGTGAGTGAGTGGTCTATCAGCACCCTGCTGGCCCCCACCATCTTACTGTTGCTCCTTGCCAAACAGAATACATAACCTAATTTCAGAAAAGATTTACAAATTGCCCCCTTCAATTTTCTTAGCTGGAGCACAACCTTGCTATTCAACTCATGCTGGATGTTAATATTTTTTTTATTGATAGAAAGAGAATAATGAAATCTCATCTTCATTTCCAGTTTACTGCAGCTACCACTTGAACTTCTTTTCAAAAATGAAAATGTGAATGAAGAGATAATTGACATCCTTCAAGAGCTGCATGACAAGTACCTACCTGTCGACAAGCAGACAGTTGAAGCAGAAGAGGTTGTATCCATTCTGGAGCACCTATTTATTGGAGGACAACTGACTGATGAAAGGGCCAACAACTGTAAGGCTGCACGCAGTGATGGCGATACCGAATTTGAACGTCTTGAGGGCTTTATCAGCAAAGTTTAAGACTGGCATGCAATTCGTATTTTATATCAGGTCAGATGAAGATGTTACAGGTCCTATATAAATTCAGGTTAAAATTTTTTAGGTTGATTCTCAAAATCCCTTGCCACCTAAGCCCTCATTCAAGAATAATTAGGGCTAGGAGACAAAGGAACTTGATCTTAATCAACCCTACATTAAAAAAAGAAATAAAAAAATAAAAAATAAATAAACATGGATTTAACTTGGTCTCCTAGCCATAATTAATTTAGAAAAATTATTAAATAATAGGGATAAGGCAAATTGTTTAAAATTATTGTTTTAATATTATTTGACTATGTATTCTAATTATTATTGTGATGTGTTTATTAATATAACATCTTAAGGTAATATTAAGCCTTATAACGGAAAAAATGAATCATAGCAAAATAAATAACGTTGTGATTCACGTAAATAGCGCGATTGTGGACACTTTGTTTTCCTAACTGTACCATTTTTTGAGAAAGCCACACTATACGTTTTGGAATGGCTTTTGTAATCTCTACCCTGACCTTGTAATATCTCAAATTCCAGGTATTGTATGACATCTTTAAGAGTTCCTCAGCCAATGACATTGGAACTATGTGCTCAAACATGAACGTCGTAAACAACTGTAATGCAAAGACTGCAAATGTTCTTGATAATTTTAACGTTTGTAAGGACTTTATAAATTTGGAGACCGATGCTCTAATTACAGCGGCAGCAATGTCTCACTTCGGTATGGAAAGTCTTGATGACAAGACAGAATCTTTCATCCCACCAGACATACTAAAGGCATCAAGAGAGAAGAGAAGAGTGTGGCTCTACTGTCGCATAACAAACATGCTGGCCACATTTGTCATGTCTGATGAGCACGAAATCATCAGAGAAAATGTAGCTGAGGTTAACAGGCCAAAAGCTCCTGTTGTTCACATATGCAGGGTATGTAGAAAGACGTACAAGTATGCCAAGGCAAAGGAAAACCATGAAAGACAACAACACCCTGAATTCTGTTTCAATGAAGATGTTGATTCCCAACAAGAGTCTCCAAATGAGACAGAAAATTTAGAGAGTCATGACCAAAAGCCGAGGGATGACAGGTACAACTATGCTACTCTCCGCTTAGCCATAGGCCTACTCCTAAGAAATTTTGATGATGCCGTGAAATAGGGAGATGGTGGGCGCATATTTTGTTGTTGGAAATTTGCTATGTTAATATACAAATCACACAATCACAACAAGTATGCTTTGGCAGGTCTTCGACTCCAAGCATTAATCAAAGCAATTCTTACCCCAAGAGAGGCTGAATGGTTGAAGTGGAACAGAACTGTAAACAACAAAGGGGGTGCTGGAAACAACATCTCAATGGATATAAGAATGGAGCACCTGATCTGCCTTACAAAAGAGTTGCTGAAGCGTCTTGGTCCGAACCTGACAGAAGCTGCCGCAAAACGCTGCTGCAAAGCTGTTGGCCACTTGTCAGATCTGATTGATTTAGTGGATGAGGACTTAAGAATTGAAAGACCCAGTGGGCATCACAAGATGCAGCAAAGAGGGGCTGATTTCAAACTTTTAGTGGACGAGTTTCACCGAAGGGGAAGTATGTGTAAGTTTGATCCACAACCTGAAAGGGAGTATCGCATCTTTGCCAACTTCCGGGACAGGCTAATCAAGGGTCTTGATTTGACATCCTTAAACAAATGGATCAGCCAACACAAAAAGGAATTGCATAAATTGGAGTCAATTTAAAGTGCACTAATTTGAGATTATTATACTCCCAGGGGGAGGAGGGTACTCCTGGTAATTTTTGGTGGGGGTGTGCCGCCTGGTTCCCACCTACACCACTTTTCAGACCTGGACTTTGGGCAGAAATTATGTCATCATTACTTCGATTAGAGTGCAAACAAAAAATTCTTGAAATCCATTCCTAATGTGCATGTCTCTTTCTTTCCTCCTTATTTGGATTCCAGACAAAATGTATACCTGTTTTCAAACCAATAAGGTGCAAGAACCCCACTCAATGGATATAAGGGCATATCGATGTGCCCTATACAAGGGAGTACCCCTACCTCCCTGGGATTATACTCTCCACAAGTGATATATTGAAAACCATAGAAACACCTAATTCCGACATGACAACTTAATAACAATATTACTGTTCTCGTGCATTTCTTTAAGGATGCCCTGTCGGCATTTTTTTCCTGCTGAATTTTGCTTTTAAGCCTCAAGGCAATTATCATAAATCACACATGAAGGGCAGAATTGGCCACCAGTTTGGAATAAGGTGTCCTCTGTCGATTCCCTTATTCTTTGATTCCCGGTCCCATTACTCATAAATAATTAGGACAAGGAGACAAAGGAAATATAAAGTCAACCTTGGTTAAATGATTTTAACCTGAATTCAAGTTTGACATGTAGCATATCCATTTCATGTCATGAAGTACGAGAAAAAGAAAGCCAAATATGTTGCCTTCTACTCTTAAGTTTCAAATAATTACGGTCACAATCAGTTAAGATAAAGAAGGTTAAAAGATTGTATTATTTTCTTTAAGAACTGGAGTTTTGGATAATAATTTATTATTCATCATTACATTATAAAATATTGATGTCCAAATTTACATATCAGGATTCCAGGACTGACGCTTCTCCTAGCTACAACAAGAATGGCTTATAGAAAACAAAGGAAAAGTAGGAAAAAGATCATTTTTTAATTGTTCAGATATCTGCATACCATTAATTTTTTGTTTTACCTGGCGATACTAAATCTCAGTGACAGCCCTCTGTTTTTGTCACAATGTTTTTTTACTTTCTTATCTAGAACTTTCTCTCTGCTTTGACCATTCTTTTTTTGTTGCTATGAATAGGGCAATAAAATACAGAAAAAATGGTCATTGCTTTCAATCATGCATTTGTCTGTTCTTATTATTAGAAAGATTCAGAGTCATGTTAATGGCAAATGACCTTATATTATAATATTCCTTGTTTTTTATTGTTCGTTGCTTATATAAGAAAAAGGTAGTTTCATGCCAGTTTCATCCTTAGGGATATTATTGTGTTGGGTCGTTGGTACGTGCTTATTTCCTACAAATGTGTTTTAGATAAATTCTCAAATGAAATCAGTTGTTTGTTGTAAACATGACTCTAAATCTCTCCATTATTACATATGTTGGACCGATTACTTGTGATTATCAATTTCAAGCTTTGTATTGGCATTTGCTGTCCTAAATTTGCCTACTATTGCAAAGTTACTAGAACTCATTGTTCCTTAGTCGAGCTCCACAACTCCTGACAGCTCAGAGCTGTCAGGAGCCATAGAGTCTTCCTCACCGGTGCTTCCCGATTCTTCATAAATTCCTCCATATTCCAAATCAGCATCATAAGGAAAAAATTCTTGGTTCTCCAAGTCACTTGGTTCATTCACTTCAAAATCTTCAGAAACATCTCTGATCATGTGCAAGATGTCATAGGCATGATGCTTTGAAAACACTGGGTTTAGATCAATGACATCATCTACAGAAAAAATATACTTGCAAGTTTTTAAAACCGAGTTGGTCAGTGAATTTGAAAATCCTGTTTTGCTTTCAGAGGACAAAACATAGCCACGGCACCATTTTTTCAGTTCTGCCTGATAGTCGTCAAGGAGTTCCCTTAACTCCTCTTTTTGAGTGGGGTCAACATTTCTTGTTTTCTTGTTTTAATTTTTTGGGGGCTTCCTCTGTTATTACTTTAAGCAGATCAACTTGGCACACTTGTCCAACACATTGACATTTTGAATGACAAACAACACAACAGTCATGTGCCTCTTTACTGTCCATTGATGTGGCTTCAAATTCGCTCAGCAACAACTTGCGCAAACATTTGTTTTCAGTTTTTGCATACTCCTTCATGATAGGTTCACACTTCTTCAAGTGAAGGCCATGAAATAATAATAAAGATCTTGCCGGTTTACCATCACGTCCTGCCCTTCCAATTTCCTGGACAAAGTCATCGACTTGGTGAGTGGACCATAATGTATCACGTGGCGTATTCCTTGGAGGTTGACACCCATTCCAAGTGCTGTTGATGCAAAAACAACTTTGCATACACCCTGCTCCTCAAATAGAGTTTCAGAGTTTTTGCATGAAACATGCCAATCAACATGTTTGAAGATACAGTAGGTCCCCCTAGGGGAAAATAGGCCATTTCTCCGAGCTCAAATTTAAATTCCTTAAAAGTAACCCACAGTCCTTCTGTAAATTGCAGTAAACAATGGTCTTAGGAGTTTCAATAGCCTCCTTTTTTAGCAGGTCAATTAGCCAGGGAAACGTCTTTGAAGTATCCTTGTCAACCTTTTGCTTGTACAACAATGTTCGGTCTGTCAGGACTCACCCGAATTTGATATGTGTCATCCTTCATGGCTAGACCTTTCATTGTGTCGCTGATAACCTCGGATGTTGCAGTGGCCGTAAGAGCAAGAACAGTAGTCCCCTGTGGTAGCAGGAAGCGCACATCACCAATCTTAAAAAAGCATTCCCTGAGTGCAGCCTTTTTGCTTTTTTCATTTCCCATTTCCTTTTTCATTACCCCTGAAAGTTAAAAACATTATCACAAATGTATGATATAATCAGAAGAAACAATAAGGATTTAATATTCGTGCTGAAATCTAACACTATTTCACACAAATAAAAGATAAGAATCTACAATAAACATGCAAGATCCTTGCAGCTAAAATTTATTTATTTTTCTTTTGACATTTATTTTGTTTTTAAAAAAAATTACAGAAAACCTTATAAACACATCTGGAATATTACAGTAAAGTAGAATATTTACACAGCTATGGATTACTCTATAAACTCATTTATCCAACCATCTGAAACTCATGATTACTATAAGTATAGTTTCTTCCCAAGAACTGTAAGGGACTGGAACTGTTTATTACCTGAAACAAGAGCACTTAATTATTCAGCATTTTGTAGAGCAAAATTATTCTAAGTTTTGTTTTGATATACGTACTGCAGTTTCTTCGTTATATATTTTTTACTTTTAATTTTTTATTGATATTTACACTTTTATTTCTTAACTCTTCTTGATGTGTAACACGTTGAAGTAGATGTAGATTAGGAAATGTTTGATTTCTGATTATACTCGTAACACAGGATTTACTGTGCAACATTTCGAACTACAAAGGAATGATTGATCTCAAAAAGAACTTACCATTTTGGAACAACATGAGCCTCATCTGTGACTAAACCAAAAAGGTTGTCTTGAAACTCTTGCGATTGCAGCAATTTTCGCCACCTTTCCTCACGAACAGTGAGTTCAGGACTGGTAAATACAATAGAATGCTGTCAAATTTCTTTCTCCATGAGGCCATCATCCCCAAGGTAGCACGACAAAATACCATAGTTGGCAAGCTCTTGGATGTGTGACTCCACCAGGGCACTGAGAGGGCATATCACCAACAGTATGGGTTTCTCAGGATAATTAAACTTTTCATTGTGTAAATACGCACACACCAACGGGACCAGTTGAAAAATCAACGATTTCCCACAACCAGTAGGAAGGACACAAAATACGTCCTTTCGGCGAATAAACTG